GCTGCTGCTGCTGCTGCAGGTACAGCTGCTGCAGGTACAGCTGCTGCAGGTACAGCTGCTGCAGGTACACTTCCTCCTCGGTCTGTTTTTTTTCTTCTTAAATTTAAGGCTGGTTACAGCAACAAGAAAATGGTTGAACTCATCCCCGGTGTTAAGAAAAGATTAAGGACTGGATTATTTTAATAATTTCTGTGGATCTTCTGGACCTCATTTAGATAAACAGTGTAGTGCAGGGCTATTCAACAAAATTACTCAGGTGGGCCACAGTTTCTGAAAGCCAACAGCTCGGGGGCCGGACGTCCAGCGATTAAAGTCATTATGTAAATAAACCAAAGTTTACAATGAGCTGTTACCTTTTAAATAAATATATATATATATATATATATTTTATGAAGTGGGCCTGATTGACGTCACCAGTTGAATAGCGCTGGTGTTGATGGTGTGAACACTCAGTTTTTCACAGACTGCTGAGCCTCTGCCCATCTTTACTTCTGAGAGTCCTCTTCCTGACCGTTCACCTAATTAGTCACAAAACGCTCCTCCAGCCGTTTCTTATTTGTACGTTTTACTTTTACAGCTTTTGTTGCTCCTGGAGCAATTTTTTCATAATCTGATATATTTATCACGTTCTAAATGTATGAGATTTCAGATCATCGTTTTGTTTTTATTCACATTCTGCACAATGTCTGATAATGGGATAATAATTACCTAAATAATGAGAGTGGTAAAAAGTTGAAATAGTTTTTTAAATTATACAAATGGGTTCAACAAGACCAAGATTATTTGGGGAAAAGAGCAAATGATGTGATTTTAGAATCTGCTCATAAACATTGTTTGGTTTATTTGTGTTGTTGTTTATAAAACAATAATAAAGAGAAAAAGATAAATGCGCTCAGTGTCAGTGAAACGGGTCGATTCCCCGACTTAGATACATCGTTGATGAATCAAATGTGTTTTCTGGTCCCACCTGAAATGTTCCACACTCGGAGACAAAGGCTGCAACAGTCATCGTTAACTGTTTTTACAGCTCTCGTTTCTGGCGCTTCGGTTCTGTTCGCTGAGTGCACGTGTTTGGAATGTGTGCGTTTCATCAAAACATCCGACCTACACGCTAGGGAATGCTGCTCTGCCGGTCCAAAAGAAAGCCGACGGAGCGGTGGGACCGGCTGCAGCGCAAACATGCAGGAACAGGAAACTCATCTTTACCCAGTTTGACGAGCACCTCCCTCTCCAGGTCCAAGACCTGCTTGGTGGCCTCGTCCAGGGAGCTGCAGAGCCTCATCTTGGGCCGGAGCAGCTCCAGGCTGTCTCTGATCATGTGGTCCATGTCGATGGGGAACGGGTGATCCTTGGTCCAAAGATCCAGACTCTTTTTCCACCAGATGTACCGCTGCACACAGAAGCATCATTTGACTGGTTGGACACATGAAAGCACCGCGGGTCAGCTCGAGGGGCGCACGTACCTGGAAGTAGACGAGGAAACAGTCGAGCTTCTTCTTGCTGGAGCCGCGGTCGAAGTACTGCCCGCAGGTATCCAGCAGGGTGCAGACCAGCCGGATCCGGAACAGGTGCTCCGGGGGGTCCAGGGGGCTGGGGCTGCCGTCCTGACTCACCCCGAAGGAGGTGAAGGAGAACAAGGTGCGGAAGATGACGGCCGACTCCACCATGCGGTAGTTGTACAGCTCGCCCAGGAACTTGGCGCTGCTGATCCGCCGCTGGTTGAACTTGGGCTGATTGACCTGGAACAGAACAGAAAGAAAAATAAATAAATACATGAATGAACGAACGAATGAATGAATAAATCAATAATAAGGAAAAAAGTAAAGTATTCATCAAAGTAACAGAAAATGTACTAAACGTTCTTGTTGCGCGGTTAAACGGTCACATTTTCAAGTCATCACCCACTGCAGAAGGTGATAATGTTTCTGTCCATATCCAAGTGCCTGTCTGTTAGCAAAATATCACATGAGCTGAATGGACTTTAACTGAACTCTCACAAATGACAGAATCTTCCACTGGCAACATGATTCAAGATGGCCGCCACAGCTTATGAAGACTAACATGAAACAATCGGTACTGTGGTGGATGCTTCTACCACCACCACATCGTGTTAGTATTTATTTAATTTACATTATTAGTTACAGATTACATTATGTATAAGTTTAAGGTATTTTAGGCATGTATTTTCTGATGGGTACACACTTTAGTTAATATTTGTCTGAATGGTTTACCAACACTTGTTCTTTTGTTTTGAGGTGCTGCAGCTGGAGGAGGAAGACTGGAACATACCACTTTTTCTAAAAGAAGGGGGAACTTCTATTGGTTCAATTTGGCTTTAGTTGGTTAATTTGTCACTTTAGTGTTCACTTATTTCTGCTAAGTTAGTTAGTTTTGCTTTATTTGTTTCAGATGCTGTTTTAGCTAATTTTTTTTTTTTTTTTTCTGTAATTTAGACGAACGTTTGGCTTTGAAGTTGTGAACGCTGGACTGCAAGAAGTTTATAAAATCTTTCATTAAACTAGAGAAATGTCATCTCCTGCAAAAACGCAGCGTGGATGCTTATTTCTGAAGGAATTTGTCTGAAAGCTGAAACCAGATCGAAAAGGTTTCATCTCTAAACTTAATGCGAGTTCAGCGTGAACGTTTGCTGAAAGCAGGAAGATCAAAACAGACGGCAGCAGAAATGAGCAGAGGCTGAAGATTATTAAAAAAGTAGATGTAAATGCTAAATACAAGCTGAGATTAGCTGGAAGAAGCTGAAAAGAGCAGTAAAAAGTTTCTAACAGCTAAAGGATGCGAAGAGAGCTCCGTCCATTTTCAAAGAGAAAAACATGTCTGAAAAGGCTAAATATTTCAAATAGTTAAAATTGCACAGATACCAAAAGCTACAGCAGGAATGTCCTGAAGGAGCCGAATGTTTTGATTCACGAGCTGTTGAAATGGACCTAAAACTGTGGAACGACTTACGTGCTGAAAAACGTATCTTAATAATGAGAATGATTTAGAAACAATGAATTAAACTCACCCTCTGCCTTTATGATACAAAAAAACTGTAGGCCTGTCGCGATAAACAATAAATCAATTAATCAATTAATCGAAACATCTTTGGTTACAAACAAAGTCGTTGTTTTTGTCTTGAACTCTTGTATTTAATGTCCTGGAAGACAGAATCTTCACCAGCGACAAACGCTACGCTAAAGAGCTCGAACCACACCGAGCGTCTGCCATTTTGAGAACCGAAGAGAGACAGCCCATGTCACGTCAAGGGGCCTCCCTCACACTTTTCTTAAAGACACGCTGCTCGCTCCCTCACTATCCATCCTTCAGTTCAAACAGTCTTATACTGCCATCTGGTGGTCAAAAAAAGGTTCTACATGCAAAAACAAATTAAACATTTCTTCTTAAATTTGACAATAATGACTAATTATTGTCAAGTTTCAAACAATATTATCGTTTATCGCAATAATTTCTGAGACAATTTATCGCTCAGCAAAATTTAAAATCGTGACAGGCTTAGCTGTAACTCGATCAATTTTACAGCCACTGATCTAAAATCTAGAGTGGGAGCCAACCACAACACAGAGGGCCAACAGATCACATGAGTTTGATGAGAACTGGGGCGGGTGACATGCATTCCTTCAATAAATGCTCCTCGTATTTTTCACTGCAACAGTCGGGGTGTTAACATGGTGCATTTTGCTGTTAATAAAAATCTCTTTGCTCCTAACTCAATTGTAAATATTTACATGTTCTTAACCAATCAGAATCAATTTTAAATCGTTTGAGACACGACGTGTTCGTAAACAGAGGATTAATTCAAGCATCGCCCGTGCGCAGCTGTGGAGGTAAACTCTGGCAGAACATTCCAGGCAGAGCTGCAACAGGAAGCGCTGTCGCTGGAATCACTGGACGCACGTCTCCAACTCGTTAACTTTAGGAGTCAAGCCTCTGACGGTGTAAGGGACACAGAGGAACGGCGGTGGAGGTGGAGTCCAGCTTCAGGTATCTGGGCGTGCCCCGAAGTGACGACCTGACCTGGAGCAACACGAGGCACACCCCGCACCCTCAAACAGCTGAGGCGTGCGGGTCTTTGGACCTCAGCCGACGTGTGGTGGAAAGCGTCCTGCGCTCCAGCTTCAGCTGCTCTGCAGAGGGCTGGAGGAGGCGGCCATCCCACCATCACACACACCTCCTGATGCAGGAGAAGGGCCTCCTGCGTCAGGACCCCCTCCCTTCAGGCAGAAGGCTGCGGACCACCAGACTAGAAACAGTTCTTACCCTGACTCTGTTAGACTGCTGGTCTCTGGGGGAGCTCATTGAAATGTTCCATTATTATTACTAGTGTTAGTAAAATATCAGTCTGCTGCTGAACTGAACTGGGACCAGACTAACGAAATGTATTTCCAGCTCGTGCACCCACGTGACGTGAACAAACATTTCCTTGAATCCAAGATGACTGACACAGCTAATCTGCCTTGGGCTATAATTTGGCGGGGCAGTGGCTGAGAGTCATCCTCACCACGTGCTCCGAGTTCTTACAGATCCTGTCAAATCACACCGAGCAGAACCACAAGAGGTAAACGTGAACAAATGTTTGTTGTTTACGGTTTAGACGTTTGTTTACCTCCATGCCGAGGCGGATGTCCTCCAGCACTCCGTCCACCACGTGGATCCCCACGTCCTCCTGGTAGGCCACCAGGCCGGCCAGCAGGTTGGCCATGCAGTGGATGCTGTTGTACTTGACGTTCCAGATGTTGATCATGCAGCAGATCAGGTAGCCCTTCACCTCTGGCTCCTGCCACGGCAGCTTACGCATCTGCCTGAGCACCTTCTCCGTGGTCACCTTGGACAGGTCCTTGTAGAGGAGCTTCCGGATGTACTCCTGCAGCGGTGGCCTCTTCTTCTTCACCGCCTTCTCTATGGGTGGAGGGTTGCAGTAGTAGTAGGCGTTCTCCACCATGGTCACGTAGCGGGCGTCCAGATGTTGCGCCTGCTTTTTACGCATCATTTGCTCCTGGAGAGGGAACAGAGATGAACTGTTGAACTTTTCTTAAAAGTCTTCAGACATAATTTATTTTGCTCCAAACCAGTGAGCTTTTTTTTTAAGTCATCAGACTCACCTGAAGAAATAAAACTTAAAAATTGATTTTATCATTAAAATGTTCTCGTTGCACTCTGCTTCAACATACCAGCTGTTTCAGTCTTCTTCAGCTAGCTTTAGTTTTAAGCTACTTTTCTTCTACTTTTAGTTTTTAGGCTCCTATTCTGTTACTTTTAGCTAACAGATTGATGCTTTTAGCTACTAACATGTCAGTTTTAGCTAGCTTATTGGTGCTTTAGCTACTATTCTGTTAGTTTTAGCTAGCTGATTCTTGACTGTAACTACTGACATGTTACTTTTAGCTAGCCTATTGGTGCTTTAGCTACTATTCTGTTGCTTTTAGCTAGCTGATTCTTGAATGTAACTACTAACATGTTACTTTTAGCTAGCCTATTGATGCTTTAGCTACTATTCTGTTATTTTAATTAGTTGATTTTTGCTTTTAGCTACTAACATGCTACTTTTAGCTAGCTAATTAGTGCTTTAGCTACTATTCTACTGCTTTTAGCTAGCCAATTCTTGACTGTAGCTACTAACGTGTTACTTTGAGCTAGCCTATTGGTGCTTTAGCTACTATCCTGTTGCTTTTGTTAGCCGATTGATGCTTTTAGCTACTAACGTTACTTTTAGCTAGATTATTTGTGCTTGAGCTACTATTCTGTTAGTTTTAACTAGCCGATTGATGCTTTTAGCTACTATCCTGTTACTTTTAGCAAATCTATTGGTGTTTTAGTTTTTATTCTGCTGCTTTTACTCTTGAGTTTTACAACTTTTAGCTAGTGTTTTGCTACTTCTAGCTAGCATATTGCTCTTTTGGCTTTGAGCTCATATTTTGTCATTTTAGCTATTAGCTAGTGTCCTACTTTTTACTTTAACAACTCCTGTTTCAGCTCCTTCAGAAAACCTTATTAGCTGTCGGTGTTCTTCCCCCACAGACAGACAGAAATGATCCTCCTAACTAAACCTGACGTCACAGCGTCGCTTCAAAGTCCCAGAAACAACCCGAGCGATTCTCACTGACCAGCAGGACGCTCGTACGCAGGTGGGAGTCCGGCGATCGGAACAGGAAGCGGCCGCACGTCTCCAGCAGCGTGCACGCCATCTCGATGTGGTGATGGGTGAAATCGGACAGCAGCATCTGGATGGAGGCAAAACACGTCGGTGATAAGATCCACGTCACTCCACAGCTTATAGTTTTTTTTTTAAAGAAAGCCGAAAGTCACAAAACTGTTGATGTTTGTGTTTTTGTACAAAAAGCTGCAACACTCAAAGAAAACAAAAACACGTATGATAAGAAGTTTGAAACAAAAAGGACTTATTTTCTGTAGCTGAAGACATTCGGCTTCCCATCCAGAAGGATTTATGAATTAAAAGATTAAGATGAAATTGATTTTTAAACTGATAAAGCCTCTCGGAGAGAGAGCGAAATGTTTACAGAACACAAGTCCAGTTATTTTGTTGAACCTTTTTATTATTTACACAAATGTCTGAGAATTAGAGCTCGACCGATATATCGGCAGGGCCGATATAGGCGTTGGGGACATATATCGGTCACAACTGTCCCATTATTCGCCAATATAAACACTCCTAATTTTCACCCCTAAAATGCTGGAACCATCCGTGTCATTTTCGTTCCACCTCATGTACCACGTGATGTAAATGACAAAGAACCATGACCTTGTCCTGACTGGCAAAAGGTGTAACTGTACAATGTATCCAGCAGAGGGCGCATGAAGACTACTTTCAAGTCATGACCGTTCCTTTAAGTTTCACTTTCATCACAGTCGAGGCAGCGAGCGATACTGTGTAGCATATTTTGCTGAACAGAGCACGGTAAATTTATTTGAAGTGATTTGTAAAATAAATAAAAATAACTCTAAAATAATAAATTCTCTTCAATTCACCAACCCGCTTGTCATTAGCTTCATGCCTCTCAAGTTAACAAGCTAACGTTTCGATAACCTAGCATAGACTGTTGCCTGTAAAACTTTATCCAGAACAATAAATGTAACGTAGAGGTAAAATATATATCAGTGTTAGTAACGTTACCTTTGTCGCCCTCAATGAAATGCATCGTTTGCCTGAAATATTTACTGCTCTACAAAAAAAGTAAAAAAAATAAACTCTGCTGCGGTCAACACTAATTAGACCTTCACCACAGGTGACTGTTTAAACACTGAACAGGAAGGACGTTTCTTAGTTTAATTTATATTTATGCAACACACTTGATAACTTTACGGTGAATATTGAAGGAAAGAAAACGTTACGCACATTAGGAAGACTGTTTCAAGAGTTCAAGTGTTACAACAGGTTTAAAAGAAGATGTTTACTTAAGATTCTTGGGGACAAAGAAAAAAAAAGTTCAGCCAATATATCGGTTATTGACATTAGCTCCACCCCCAATATCGGTATCGGCGATAGCCAAAATTTCCATATCGTTCGTGCTCTAGTGAGAATCTTCACCGGAACATTTTTAAACAAGAAATTTTTGTTCCAAGTGACTTTACTATTTTCATGTTCCACAACTCGACTCATTTTCTTCAAATGACTTAAAGTGACTCTTTAGATTAGGTGTGGATTTTAAAATCTATTACTATTCTTGTTTATGTTTTAAACGAATCCATCACGCATCTAAAGCCGAAGAGCGGCCGAGGCGAGCCGCGGTCGGGTCACGACTCACCTTCAGACAATGAAGCGAGTCCGGCTTCGAGAACATCTTGAACTTCGCCAACTCTCCGACGAAGCGCACCGTTTTGTTTTTCGTCTCGATGTTGATCTGGTCCTTCTTACGAATCTGAAAACACAATTATTATTATTTTTTTTATCAATCAGATTTTAGTAGCGGACGACGACTTTTTTAACACGCTGAGAGAAACAAAGTGCTTTACAAAACGTTAAAATAACAATAAATAAACAAAAACACACAAACAGAACACGGTGACACCGCCCACCTTCAATAAACACATAAATTAAAACATATTGATCATAAACATTAAAGATTATTAATAAATATTAATATTACAGATAAAACTCCCACTGAAATGTAGAAACTTTTTTTTTTGTAAAAAGGCAAAACAAAACAGAAACAGTAAAAATAAATAAAAACAGACAATACATAATGATACAACACATTAAATATTATAATATTAAAAATATTAAACTGTTAAAATAAATTAATCAGTTATTATTTACACTGAAATAAATAAACTATGTAATATTAACAATAAAAGTATTGCATTTATAGTATAAATAAAGATTAAAACATATTTTTACTTTTAGATAAATGTATATAAATTGGATTTTTTTTAAATAAAAACATTCCATAACGCAAAAATAATAATAATCTTATTAACTGACATAACAAAATATACTAATTTAAAATATATAACTTTGTAAAAAAAAATTGTAATGCCAAATTTATACAAATAAAAAATTGAAACTTTTTATTTTCAGATAAACTGATTTAGAGATTATTTTACTTAAAAGGAAATTATCAATACTCACATTGTAATATTTTTAAATTATTAATTCATGTTGCAACTATGAAGCAAGTAAAAAAATACATTTTACTTTACAGTAAAGTGACGTTTTACTGATTTTTAACACTGAAATTAAAATAAAATGTCACTTAATACACAACATTATTAGTAATAAAGTATTTCAACCATAATATATCTAAAAAATAAGTTAATAAAACCAAAAAACATTTAAAAACATACATTTTGCTTTTAGATTAAATGCAGATTAAATAATCTTTTAAACTGAAATAAAATAATTGAGTAAAACAAAGCTAGAGGCGCAACACAGATAATAAACTCAGAACTGTCTTAAAGTCTGAAATAAAACGATATAAAAACTCAATAAATGACCAAAAAGCCCAAACGGTGTAAAACATTTCAACTGATCCACAAACGAGGGTGAGAAGAAAAAAAACGACGCCTCTTTCGGAGTTTCGTTTTTTAATTTAGGCTTTTTTCATAAAATTCAAAGGAATCTGACAGATTTGAACGTCAAAACAAATCTGATAAACTCCTTTAACGCACGGTCTGTTCAAACATCCAAATGTCTGAATTTGTGTTTAATCTACTTCCTGTTCTGACTCGTTTCATTAAACCTCGTCTTTATCTCCAGAAGCTAAAGGAACCTACATGAAACCTGAAGTCTCCCTTCAGCATGGAGCAGAGATCCTCGGCCACGTCCGACATGCAGGGGTGCAGCGTCGCCACCAGGCGAGAGTAAAACGGCAGCAGGTCCAACCTGAAAGACGAGTCGTTAGTCTCCGATCAGAACTCGACATGACAGCACCTCTGTGGTTCTTTACAGAGAAAATGTGTCGGGCGATGTAAAGTCAGTGACGCCAGGAAAAACATGATGATTGTGTAAAATCTGGTTCAAGTCTTGTTATTTTTGTCTCTCGGGTCATTAACGGATCAGGGAAGAGACGGACCTCTGCCTGGGGACGGTGAACAGGGCTCGGACCAGCTTCCTCCGGTTGGATTTGGTATTCATGTTCATGCAGAAGTCCATGGCAGCCTGGAAGAGTCAGCCAGTTAAAGATTTAAACTTCTGCACCTGCTGGGACTGCTGAGCGTTACATAATAAAAACTTAGAGGAGATAAAATCAGAATCCAGTTGTTCTGTCGTCACCTTGTCTATAAGGTCTCTGTTGACGCAGTTGGGGAGCTGCTGGATGAAGGCGTCCACAATCAGCTTCAAGTGTGAGCCTGTGCTGGCCTCCTCGTCCTCTTGTTCTGCACACAAAGGAATGAGGAAAACTCCATTAAACGATGAAAAACAAGGAAACCTAAAGCATGGCAGGTTGTTAGAAGACCAGCTTTATGCAAAGAAGAGATGACTACATGACAGTTATGACGAACACCGGATCATAAACTTGGGAAAGAAACAGCATCAACTGTAACACTTTAAACAAGAGCACTGCATACACATGCTGCTAACAGGACCACGCTGCTAACATGACCACGCTGCTAACAGGACCACGCTGCTAACAGGACCACGCTGCTAACAGGACCATGCTGCTAACAGGACCATGCTGCTAACAGGACAACACTGCTAACATGACCACGCCGCTAACAGGACCACGCTGCTAACAGGACCATGCTGCTAACAGGACCATGCTGCTAACAGGACAACGCTGCTAACAGGACAACGCTGCTAACATGACCACGCCGCTAACAGGACCATGCTGCTAACAGGACCCTTCTGTTAACAGGACCATGCTGCTAACAGGACCACTCTGCTAACAGAATTATGCTGCTAACAATAACAGTATTTTTATAACAGTACTTTTTATTTTAATTGCTTCAATTGTTGTATATTTCTGTCTGTCTAAAACAGGTCTCTCCTGAAAATGAGTCCTCATGACTCGGTGAGACTAACCTGCAGAAATAAAGGTTCAATAAATAAAAAATATGCCACATTACGCCCCTCGACAGTCTGTTACACAGCAATCTATACCAAAGGTCCAGACAAGCCAAGACCTTGTATAACCTTTGACCTTGGAGCAGAGGTGATCAAAAGTGTAGGCAGCCCTCCATCTAATGGTGATGCGTGTGTGTTTGAAGTTATGGGCAGGACGAGAGAAAGTTTACAGACCGAGACTATACCACAAACACTGGCCTTTCAACAGGCGTATAAAATACTGAACGTATTTAAAACAAAGGAAGCTTAATGTTACACGTCGAAGAACGCCTGACAAGTCATAGATTTTAAGTGTAAACTAAAGGAGATCATCCAGATGTTTCTGTGTTTATAAAAAGTGTGACCTGCAGAAAAGTGCACGCAGACCTTTGTTCTTTTATTTCCCCTAAATAATAACTAAAAACAGAAGTGCAGAACCTAAGACCATTTCAACCAGCTTGCCATGCATTCTCAAACAAAATATATATTAATTAAAATCTCAAAGGCAAAAAAACATCAACCGATGGGATTTCTATGGTAAAACTGACAGTAAGGCATAAATCTGAGTCTAGAGAAGGGTCAGTGAATGCAACACAAGTGGAGAAGCGTCAGAACTGACGAGTCGATCGGGATGGCTGTGAAAAAAATGGCTGCTGAACAAGTGATTATTAAGATGTAAAGATTAATCGTTTTGTGTTTCCGAACAGACTTTTTCAGTTTTCCTCGTCTCAAAGAAGACTCACCTTGTTCGTCGAGCAGCTTTTTGGTCAGTTCTTCGTTCTCCACCTCGTCTGCTCCTTCCAGTTCCAGAGGCTCGTCTGTGATGTCGAGAGCTTCCAGCTCCAGCTCCTCTGTGGTGCTCGTCCCGTCCTTTCCCTCCCTGACGTCTGACAGAACCAGCAGCACAGTCAGAATAAAACCCGGACTCCGTCTTTATTCGTCTGGACGGATTCGTCTTACCTTTGGACTCGTCCTTGTCTTTGCTCTGACTGCTCTTCTCGTTGTCCTTGAAGAGGATGGCAGGAATGAAGGCCTTCAGGTCCACCAGGTTCTCGTAGAAGTTGCGAGCATCTTCGTCCTCCCAGATTCCCCCCTCGAGTTCGTAGTCCCCGGGTTTACCGGGGGTGAAAATGTCGATGCCGGGGCCGTGCTCTGAGGAGAGAACCCGTTGAAGACGTTCGACTCAGAACAACGTCACGAGTTGCATCGTCACTGACCTTCCTGCACAGTCTTGTCCTGCGGCAGCTCTGGCATGTTCTCATCCAGCAGGTCGGCCAGCGTCTGAGTGTTGGCCAGCAGCTTCTGGTACGACGTGGCAAACTCTTCATACTGCTTGTGTCGGTCTTCGCTCAGCTCGCCTTTGGAATGTAAGATACGCCTGAAAAGCAGAGGATTCAGCAGCGGGCACAACAGAAAGGTTCCGAGGAGCCGTGCGGTGGACTCACCGGTTCTGCCTCTCGATGTTCTGCAGCTCGCGGTGGTCCTTCTTCAGGTGTTTGGTGAGGGATGTGAAGTACTCCCTCAGGAGGTTCTGGAACGGCTGCTGCTTCTCCACGCTGATGATTTCGCTCGGAGGGAAGGTCAGGCTGAACTTGTCGGCCGCCAGCTTCACCTTGCGGGGCACCAGAGCGGCGATGTCGTCGCCGCAGTGCTTGCAGAAGCTGATCACCACCGACACGTGCGTGTGCGTCTCCCGGTCCGCGCCGATGATGTTCTTCAGCTGCTCGTAAATGAGCGACAGGCCTTCTTTGTCGGTGAAGAGGCCAACGATGGTCAGCTCGGCGATGAAGCGCAGGTCCGTGCGCAGCTTGCTCACGTTGGGCGCCTTGTCCTCTTTCCTCGCCTCAAAGTGCTTCTTCCACGCCTGCAGCAGCAACGGGGCGAACTCCGCGTAGCGCTGGTGGAACAGGGAGCACAGGTGGACGGCGCAGGCGACATCGGAGATCTTCAGCTTGGCCTCCACCACGGAGCTCACGGCCTCGCCGATGTACTTGCTGAGGTTGAGGGAGGCGAAATCGTTGGAGAGCGCGTCTCGCTGCTGCTCGGTGAGCGTGCGGAGCTTCTTCACAAAGGCCGTGTTCTTTTTGAGGCTGGAGTCCAGCCGGCTGAAGAAGGCCTCCTCGGGCCGACCCTCGTGAGCGTTCTGGTTCCTGCAGCGCAGCTCCTTCCTGGACTGATGGCGCTCCCAGGCTTCCTGGTGCAGCTGATGCCCCTCCTCCTTTTCTCTGCGGAAACAAAAACAAAAAGTAAAACTCAAAGAAAAGCAAAACTAAAGACAAACATTCGTATCAGTCAAACTGGAGAAAGGAAACTCCTCGCACAAACAGAACGAAATGATATGAAAATCTCACAAACCTGTACTTTGATCATATTTAACGTTTTACTCAAAGAAATTGTACCATGAAAGGTCATTTTGAATTTTATAGAAGCAACTAATCTTTAAAACGTTTGTTCCGGGAGCAACAAAAGCTGTAAAGTTGTATGAATAAGAAAGCGTTTTATTTTATTTTATTATCTAACTGGTTAATTGTTAACGGTCAGTACGAGGCCTGAGAGCATTTTAAAGAGACTGTCAGAAGTAAAGACGGGCAGGGGTCCAGCTTCTGTGAAAAACACTAAAAACTGTGAAACAAGTTCAGAACAACGTTCCTCTATAAATTACTTTGAATCTCATCTTGTCTTCTCAAGTTCATAATCTCATCACCAGATTAGGTCCAGATCTTCAGACCCTCAGGGGTCACTTCATTAAACAGTTCTGGACCCAGGAACTCTTCCACAGATCACTGTCAGTCAGTTTATCCACAGATGCTGCTTAAAGCTCTATCAGGCAAACAAGAAGTCAGATGTAAACACCATACAGAACTGTTGTCGTCTTCTCTGGACCAGAGCTCGTTTCAAATGGACTGAGGTGAGTCCAGAACTGTTCCGAGGACAGATGATCCAAGTTTGAGATTCTGTTTGAAATCTTCCATAACAACGTATTTACATCAGTAAAACAGTAAAATAAACCAAAAAATTTACAGAAACAAATCGTAGTTTCACCCTGAGGTGTTGTTTTGTAAAAAAGAACAGAACCGTGACCTTGGTCCTGTCGGATTCTTTGCTCAGTTAACTCTTTATTTATTTTACACGTTTCCTCTCAAACTTCATGAGCTACAAAATAAAAAAGCTCATCAATGCTTCCAGAAGCTAAACGCAGATTTAAAAGAAAATTTTTATGAGTTACTAAGGAAAATAACAACTCTGTGCAGTTCTTTTTTATTTATTAAACATAAATTATGTTGGTTGATAAATCTTGAGTGTGAATGGACAGATGAGAGTCAGATGTAAAAGTACAATCAATGTAGATTTTCTAAAATGTTTGATCTGGAAAAAAATAGTACTTTAATGAAACCAGGATAATGAGTTACAACATTTAATTTCCCTTTGGGATTAATAAAGTATTTCTGAATTGAATGGCCCTTCCTGCAGGAGGTGAACCCAGAGGAATTTGTACAGGTTTTATTGTATTTTGACTAAATTCAGCCTTGGAATGAGGAGTTTTTGTTTTCTGTGTTAGTCTATTTTGAAGCTCTTGACTTTTTTGACTTGTTTCAGTAACATTTAACAGAAAAGTTTGATCCATGAGGTTTGTGTCAACACTGTCTTCAGTAAGAAGCTTTAAAAGTTCATCATCACTTACTTCAGGAGAGCCGCCTCCTCCTCACGCTGCCGTTTGGTCTCCTCCTCTTGGAGCTTCCTTTCCTGTTCCTCCTGCTGCCTCTTCTCCTCCTCCTCCTCTTTCTTCTTCTGCTCCTGCTCCACTTTTTGTTTCTCCTCCTCCCTCTTCCTTTGCTCCTTCTCCTCTTTCTTCTTCCTCTCCTCCTCTAGGCGCTTCCTCTTCTCCTCCTTGCTGCCATCTTTTTTCCCGCTCACTTTGGCCTCGTCCTTCACCTTGTCCCGAGCGGATCCTGGCTTCCTGTCAGCCTCCCTGTCCTTCTCCTTTTCTTTGTTACCCAAGGAGCAAACGTCTTTGTCGTCCATGTTTACTGAGAGCTGGCGTTCGTCAGGCATACTGAGGACCAACAGGAAAAATGTTAATCAATCAAAGTGAGTAAATTCAATAAATGAGTCCGACAAACAGTCCAAGACGCAAGATTAAATGCGTGGCAACATGTTTGTTTTCTTGTCATTTTGAACATTTCAAACAATCGAAGCCGAACTTTTAACAAGCTTGGCATCTTCCACACATCCATGATGCTGAACTCCATGCAGCCATCCTGAGACACATTCACATTATTTACATTATAGAATATATTTCCACTTTTTAAGGCACCTAGAGGATTGCTCCAACAGCATTTTATTGTATTTTGCAATGACAATGAAATTATCTTTATCTTAAAATGAAAAATTGTTAGAATAGTGAGTTCTGAACAGGTTCAGGAGGATGAGATCTATAGACAATGAGTTACAGTGAGTTGATAAAAAGCAGATTAGATTATGTAAAAATCATGTTTCCATCTGATTTTTTTTTCGTTCAACCTTTGTTTATACATTTTAGTCTCATTCAGTCTCGAGGACTCATTTACAAGAGACACCTATTATACCTGAATACCATCTATATTATAGATGCAGTGCTGAAATATTAGACAGCACATAAACAAATCAAAACTATATGCATTTTATTAAGAAGTCTACAGTCAGCATTATGTTTATTCTTGTCATTTAATTTACAGAGAAACTCAAATTTACCAAGACATTTAAGGGAATAACCTGTTCATCAAAAATGTTTTCACTTTAACTTCAGGGTCTTATTTTGGACATTTATTGAGTAATCTCCCACTGATTACTTCTCACAGCAGAAACTACTCAAGCATACAGAATTTAAAATTCTCCTCAAAAGTATTTTAAAACATGTTTTACCCAAATAAAACTCAGAAAAAATCCAGAAAAGCAATGCAGCACCAACGTAGAGTTCATGTTGACTTCGTTAGGTTACATTTTCTTTGTGTCCTCGTGTTTTGAACTTTGCTCTTCCATTCATTTTCAGCCCATTCTTTGAATTAGACCAGAGCTACAAAAATGACGTGATCATAATAAACACTAAAAACACAATCATTGTTAAAATGTCAACAAGGAGTTACACTCCACAGTTACACGAAACACGCAGCTTTAAGGCTATTTAAACTCCAGGGTCACATAAACCTATTAAAAATGAATATGCATCTCTGTAATTTGGTCATTAGGTCACTCGATCCTACAGGTAAAACAGAATGTGGAGAAGATAAATGATAATTAACATTTAAAAAAACAGCACGTAACTTTATTCGTTAAAAAACAACACGCACCGTATGTTAGCCATTCACTTCAGTCGTTGTGATAATCATTTGAATTTTAGCTATTTTATATGTTCAAGACTTGAATCACAAATGCGGTTTATTTATCCGAGTTTCTCCACAAGCTGTAACGTTTTAATCTGTTTACATGTTTGTAACAAAACCAAAGTTAGCGTTAGCCGAAGCTAACGCATTCATGAGAGCAACGTAAACAAACGTTTAGTCACCGTGAGGATTTACTGAAGCCGCGACAACGACAACTTTAAGATACTTAAATAATAACAGGACCATGGTGAATAAAAAAACTCATAATAAATCAATTTAAAATGGACAATCTTACCCACAGATGACACCAAAACAAACATCGGTGGGCAGTTTTTCGGTTAACCGAAAGAAGACCTTTTAGTCTCCCAAGATATGCCGGTCTAAAAATATCATGTTAAAACAAAATCAGTAAAATTTTTGAGTAAGAAGAAAATGTTTTTATTAGTTGCATAAATGCTCGTCTACTATTTATTATCGAAACCATATTTTGATAAACAAAATTTTCTCATTAAGACAGGCAATCATTCGACCGCTACATTTTAAACTGGCAGACAAGAGGCAACCAGAAGCAAACAAGTCAAATTAAGCACATTTAAAACAGCAGCTATTACCAAAGTGCTTAACAATACTTTCAAAGCAGTTAAAAAAAACATAAGATATAATTAAAAGCAACAAAAATAACAATGCAAAAAAATGAAATAGTAAAAGTAAAGGGGCCTGTGTAATGTTGATGATGGGCCGATTTCCAAAATTTAGGCCCATGACTGAAAAAGCACGATCTCCTCTGAACTTCAGCCTGGTTTTTGGTACAACCAAAAATCAGCTGTTCAGATGATCTCAGCGCCTGAGAAGGAATATGGTTGAAGTAGGTCAGAGATGTATGAGGGTGCAAGGTCATTAATGCACCTAAAGGTCAAGAGGAGATTTTTAAAATCAATTCTGACATGAACAGGGAGCCAGTGAAGGGAGGACAAAACCGGTGAAATGTGCTCAAGCCTAAAGTTTTTCAGCTAATTTCACGATTTTTTTTGCACTCGTTTAAACTATTTTCAGACTAATTCAGCAAAAATGTACTCTCAATTTCCTTCTTGTAATTTCAGCTGCTTCATGATTTTAGCTACTTTTCAGCTGTTTTTTCCCCCAGCTTTTATTATTTTCAAAAAAGTCCTATTTTTTTTCTCATTTCCGCTTCTTTCAGTGTAATTGTTTAAACGTGTTATTCTGCTTCTGCAGCTTGTTCTAATTTTCATCTAACTTTTTAAAGCTAATTTCAGCTATTTTTCAGCAAGTTTTTCCAGCAAGCATTCACACTGCATTTTTGCAGAAAATGCAATTTCTCTAGTTTTATGTTAAAATGTAATGTTCCTTGAAAAAGCATTCATTTGGTGTTCTTTGCTCACATGTAAAACATTTTAAAAAAATTAATATGAATGAAAAACTTTAATAAACGGCTTTTTAATGTGAAAAGAATGCAACAAGTAGAAAATAAAAATTAATTTCCATTTTAATTCAGCAGTTCAACAGTACATCGATTGATCGTCTGCTCAGCTTCACCTTCGATAAGACGATGGAACAGAATCCTTCTGGAGGGACACATTGCATCTGAAATGTTTTCTATTAAAAATAATAATAAGAACTGTTAAATTTAAACGGTTTGTTTTCCATCATATTAAAAAAAAAAAAAGTTAAAGCGGCTCTGAAGGAAACTGCATGTAGCCAAAAAAAGAAACGCTACAGACATTAAAATAAATGTTAATATTCAAAATTTATACAAATAAAAAAAGAATTAAGAAACAAACTGATGTGTTTAAAGTCTTAATTATAATATTTAAAAACACTCAAAAGGCTGAAATAAATCAGTCTGAGTGTAAAAAAAACAAACAACAACAAAAAAACTTAATTCATAAACAACCAGGAAAGATTTTGGTTGTATTGCATCAAATGTAAACAGCTTCATTCATAAAGACGTTTATTAAAATGACTTAATGAAAAAATTAAGATTTATAGACTCGGTCACATAATGTAAATGTAGCTTTTGAATCAACCGCAGAAACTTTTATTATTCAAAAAACTGATACTCAAGTCTTTTATTTTATTCCTAATTTGTTAAAAAGAATCTTGACAAAAATAAAATATAACTTTTAAATTGTTCCAGACATGTTATGTCACAACTGGAAACATGAGATCTAAATTGTAACCTCTAATATATTTTTAAATAGTCTGAATGTAAATTTATTTAAATTTAATTCTGATTAGTATAAATCTTATTGTGAGCAGAACTGCCATAAATAAAATATAAAACGGTAGACAAGAGCTGGATATGATTATGTAGTGAAACAGCCTGCCATACAGTGAACCATCTTTAGTACACATCGTTTGCATCGGTCTCACCGTGTGCTCAACTCTGAGATACTTCAGAAAAACACGGTGATTTTTATTGGTATAAAAAAAAACAGAAGAATTAATTTAAAAAATAGAAAATTCACTTTACTTTCCAGTTTGGTGAATTAATTTTAAAAAGGTTTGCTTTCTTGGCCAAATAATTAGCATTAAAGCAATAATTTAATCTTTTTGAGTGGGATTTTTTTAGAAAAGGTATCGAACAATGAATATCTTACCTGCTGCAGACCTTTAAACAAACTCAGTCTGAAGAAACAGTGGTTTGATGAGCTAATGGCTAGTCTGAACGGAGCGAGAGTGGATTACCGTTCCCTCAAAACGACTTCATCTAAAAGAACCACAGTGGATGATTAGAAACTTTTACTCAGCCGTTTCTCTTTTCGTTTTTTGAAAGAGCAACTAGCAGAAGCAGCAGCTAGCAGTAGCACTTAAAGCACCACTGTGTAAAATTAGCTGCTAAAAAAAGTTATTTAAATTGATGATAGTTTATAAAAAATAAATTTCCATGAAATTAGTATTTATTTTGTAAATTTTATCAAAATTAAACCATTTCTCCAAACTGAGGTTGTTCAAAGCTCCATCTACAACAGGTAAGATATTAATTGTTCATAACCTTTCCAACAAACTCGACTTAAAAAACAGACGAAGGAAAATTGTTTCTCGCTGGAATTATTCCTTTAAAAACACGTTTTAGTCAAAGATTTTTCAGATCAGATCGGATTCGTTTAAACAAACATTACTATAGCTTTTAAAAAATATTTTCTTTGTGCGTTTATAAAAATAAGTGCACCTTCTCACGCTTACGTACGGAGATACCAGCTGCTGTTATTTTACTTCAGAAGGCAGAGTTAGTCTCCAACAGCTGAAGAACATTTGGTATTTTACGCAAGAGTCACGAACGTGATTTAAAATCACTTCCTGTTTGTTGATAAAATAATAAACATTTGCAGAAATTCTGCAAAGAACTGAGGCCAAATCAGACGTTTGATGAAAGTTCTGCTCGTTAGTTTGTGGACAATAAAAAAAGAAGCTCATTTTTGAAGCCAACTTTGATTTCCTGAAAAGGTCCGTCTGTCGATGCGACGACGAGCTTCAGTTTCCTGTAAGATCCGAGCGTGGAGAGTAGAACCAAGAGGAACGCGTTCTTCTCGTCATAAAAATATTAAAACGTTTTAAGAGCGCCCGTCAGCAGTCTGTGCAGGTGATTGACAGGTGAGTCGGCCTATGGTCTTTGAGCGAGGCGGCTCTTCCCCTCCTCCTGCTCCACCAGTTTGAGGTGAGTGTAGGACAGGATTCCCGCCAGAGTGCAGAGGATCCCCAACGCCTGGCCAGAAACAGGAAGTTCAGAAGTCACAAACAGGAAGTCAGGAGGAAACGACGCCTGACCGGAAACAGGAAGTTCAGAAATCACAAACAGGAAATTCATGAGGAAACAACGCCTGACCGGAAACAGGAAGTTCAGAAATCACAAACAGGAAATTCAGGAGGAAGCAAAGTGTGACCGGAAACAGGAAGTTTAGAAATCACAAACAGGAAATTAATGAGGAAACAACACCTAACCGGAAACAGGAAGTTCAGATATCACAAACAGGAAATTCATGAGGAAACATTGCCTGACCGGAAACAGGAAGTTCAGAAATCACAAACAGGAAATTCAAGAGGAAACAACGCCTGACTGGAAGCAGGAAGTTCAGAAATCACAAACAGGAAATCCATGAGGAAACAAC